AGAGAGTTTACAACATGCTGCAGCGTTCTGCGCGAAAGCAGCATCACAATGCCTCTCCGTTCTGCAGTGCTACCACGAGAGCCTGTGCGTGTGCATGGAAGTGCAATGCTGCAAACATCTTTAGCCACACAAGTGCCCACCTTTGCAACGCGTGATTTTGCGATTTGAAGCAGCGACATGCAAGAGATCGGACAAGGCCTCGACAGGAGTCTTCACTACAGGTGATCACACGTGACGTCATTGGCGCCGCGCAAATATATCGAATGATTTTTCTTGCCCTTGAAGTGGAAACAGTGGATTACCTCGAGGTGTCACTACTACATAAGATGCTGAACATGGGATCTCATGAAACGCAGCCAAGCTCTCAGAAGCTGACATTGTCCATGCAGCCAACATAGACGTTTTTGTCCTAAGCAGCCACCACCAGCCATAGATACGTTAGGCACATGCAAGACACATCCTTGCAAAGTCCGAGGGCGGGACAAATCGGACTAGTCCGACCGGCTGCGTCTCCAGTTCAATTACATTGCTCAGCACCTGTGACCGAATTGCAAGGCTAGGGAATGCTAGGGAGTTGGCTTCCACAGAGCACGTAACAAGTAGCAAATCGCAGCGGTGTCTCTGCATCGTCATGCGCCTGTCCATTCTTGACGGTGTAGATATTGCCATCCCGACATGCCACAGTTATCCTGCAGGTTCGCAACTGACTCCACGTATATTGAATTCCAGCAGAGCCGGTTCGAACGTGGGCCTGTACTCTACGTCGAAGAGTCCCAGTACGGAAATGAATGTAGGGACTGCTTCCAGCTTCACCTGCCCGCACAAAAGCCACAGGAAAACTCCCTCTCACCTCTCGAAGTACAACATATTCAAACCACACGTGCGCGATTGTGTGACTGGCCTTGGCTGCAATCTCCAGAGCGGAGCTGTTCAGGATGTATATCATCCTCGCATGATTTGTCCCAAACCCACTTCAAGCAGTGCTGAAAAGCCTTGCTTGCGCATCGGAAAGGACTGTCCTGTTCTCGGTGCCAATCACCAACATGCTGACCTCAAATGGGGAATTCTCGTGTTTTCTACAGTAGGCTTCTGCTGAGATCTTTGTCGGGAAGACTTGTAGTCTGGCTTCTGCAAACCGTCAAGCTCCCTTAGGCTCGCAGGCCGTTTTCTGCAGCAGCCGACGAGAGGCTTATGCTTCGGATGAACACGTGGTTCTCTTTAGGCCGGAAGGTTTAGTCCCACACTCCTGAGTCCCAAACTTCAGTGCAGAGCCCTCCGCAGCTCAGAAAATCCAACATTACAATGCCCTGCTCTTTATCCTCACCGGACGGTGCATCGCACGATGATGCGAACCCTTGAGATCTAGGGAGCAGCGCGAGCTGGTCTGAACGAACGACAGCATCCGATCCTAGACATGAAGACTCGCGCTTTATGGCAAGCTCTAAGGAAGCAGAAAAAGCTTTTGGGAACATCGCAGAGACAATGTGCTCCTTGGAGCGCTTGACAGATATCACACTGCCTGACAACACCTCCGAGCGGGGGGCAGAGGCCCCCCCCTGCATGCAACCCTTCATGACAGGGAGACCTAAAGATTGGGCCCGAAGTCGCCTGTTGACCCGCCTGAACACTAGAGAGGAAGAAGGTGTGTAAACGACAACTCCCGCAAGCTCAGAGAGCCTGCTTGCGTGACAATGCAGAGGGTGGGATGCAAAGTCTGGGGTTGTGTGGTGCTTCTCTGGCGGCCACGGCGAGATCTCCTCAGAATTTCAGACCCCCTGGGACTCCCACAGCAGTTGGCTCATCCATGTTCTGCTTCAGGACCTGGGAGGGATTTTCGTTTCCTCTCCGATCCTCACGGCAAGGTCCCTCCAAAGTCGAAGGAATCAGTGAAAAAAGAGGGTTGTTGTAGAAATCAGGTGGCCTCCATGCATGTTATCGCAGTCTGTTGCTGTAGCAGATGGTCCTCGAACAGGTCTCAACTCAGCAACACACACCGGATGGCATCAAGTCTGGAGGCAGAAAAAAGGCCGTATCTACTACTGAGTGATGCATAGACTGGCATAGAATATCTGCACAAGAGAAGAGGTCCTCGTTAGGCCTGCACGCACGGACGTACTCTGTCTGTGACTCCAGGTCCTGGCAAGCAGCCGATGGGCCGTTTTGCCGCAAAATCAAGGCTCCCTGGAGTAGCCTCCACGGCAAGAAAGTCAATCGACTGGTTGGACAAGGCTGTTCCGTTTTCACCTGTCAATTCTGACAAGAACGGCTCTGACCATCGGGGTCAATAGCCTGAGCTCCAGGCGAGCCGCGTTCAATTTGTCGAAGCCCGCTTGGACATCAGCTCCGTCCTGGGTCAGGTCCTGTGCGGCACGCAGCTCACAGCCTCACGCAGGCACGGAGGTTCAAAGCCAGCCTGCCAGATGTCTTTCTCGACTGGATCGATCTCCAAAGCTGGCAGCCTGTACCTGAAGAATGCAATGCACGCTGCAATGCACTCCTGGCACCTACATCCCTCACTATGCTGTAGCAGTGTCCTGAGCCTCATGCTGCATCGAGGGCCGCATGTTCCGAAAGATCAAGACCTCGTCGTTCCATGTTGCTGTCCAAGTCGAAACACAGGAGCGCCAACAATCGCAAATTCTCTCTGTTCAAAGGCACCCGGTGTCCGCTTGCGACGGCCAGGGTGGGAATCGGTGGATGTCCAGCCTGCCGCCACGTGCAACCATGCTTGAGAGGCATGTTGTGGAGCTGCAGCTGGGGGCCTCGTGGTAGAAGGACTGCACAGCACAGGGCACATCCGGCAGCTTGTGCTCCCATTGGATAGTCGTCCCCTGGATTCCAAGCACGACAATGAACACGGGCCACAGGAGACGGTAAGTTGTGTCCACCTTGTACATGCGAATTCGCTTCTTCATGTCCACCTTACGGGACACACGGGACACGCAGCACAACAGCGGTCTAGTTCAGCTGTCTTCTCAGAGTACCATCACAAGGCGGTGATCGCCATCAGCGGCCAGGTCGGCAAGGCACAGGAACGACCTCACGTTCGGGATGCCATGCATGGGCACGAGATGGCACGAGGTGTCTTAAGACGGCTTGGGCCATCTGCGAATAGCAGCTCATTCCAGCCACTGGGTCGTGCCATGCCTGAGAACCAGCGCGGAGAGGTCTGCATTAGCTACAGCGTGCCATCGTCAACGGAGCTCCACTTCCCAACTTGCTAAGCGCAGAACATCTAACCATGGGCATTTCTTCTTCTCCGGTTCATTCGCAGCCTGCAGTCCCATATCACAAACATCGACACGATCTGAATCTTTCCCGTTGACAGCAGCCGATCATGAACGAAATCACTTTCACGGCAGCAGCGGTGCTGAAAGGGTGGCCTTGGCATCTGATCCTCGTAGTGCCATGAAAACCCAAAGCATGGCTGGCCAATAAGCTCTCTTGCCGCTTCCGAAGCACTGCGACCGGCGTCAGATTGGCCGTTTCGGCCATAGGAGACGCGCCGGCCATTACTGGGTGGGGAATTGCATCGTGCACCGTGCTGCAGCCCAGTCCTGCGCCGTCCATGCCCACGCCGGGCCTGAGAAGCGCAGCGAGAAAAGAGATACGCTTCCTGGCAAACTGTCCCGGTGTCGCTGGAAGCGACAGGTTTCTCAATTGCTTTCGCCAGGTCCCGCTGGAGCCGTGAAGATCAGACCCTCTTGAGTAAGATCATGCAAATGCTTGTAGGAGATAAGACAGGCTTTTCAGGTGGCTCTTGGACAACACCTGAGCTTCAACAACTTGTAGTATGTCCCTGCGTCTTCGCCTTGTTCCTCACCGGCCTCGGCCTGATCATGCCCGACTTTGCCAAAAAGGTCCGGGCAACATCGGCCGATTGGGGTTTTAGTCTGGAGCTTCCCGAGGCTTCTCTCGCACGGCAGTCAAACAGGCAGGCAAACCGGTGCGCGTGGCAGGCCCCATGGGCATGCAGGACACGCCCTCGCCCGTAGGTCTCAAGACAAGCTTCATGATCCCGGAATTTCTTTAACTGGGTATGTTGACATGCAAACCTCCCGCTTCAAGCTCTGCTTCCAAGGGATGCATGGTGCATCCTGGATGGGCATCCAACATGCCATTGCTTGGAAGCAGTTGCAGGCTGTCCAAGACTGCGATGTATCAAAGTGCGGAAGTCTGGACTCTGACACTGAGCGCCAGTGCGTTTTGACAAATCAGCAAACGGTGGCAGCAACCGATTGACCTGTCCGTAAAGTGAAATGCCAGGAGACGCTGAGTAGAAGACGCAAGCCCTGTCCCTGGTTTCGGTGACAGCTGAAGAGCAAGTGCTGCTTGACAGAAACACAATGACGAGCAAAGGCTTCACATGAACAGGCCTCGTGAAATCTGGAACGGCACAACGGGACCCGTGGCGCTTTTAGCCATGAAAGTGCCCGATGATGCGTTTTTTCGCTGAGCTGAAGGCTAGAGGCCAGTGTCTGTATGCCCATCATCTACTCCAGGTTCATGATGCGTCTGATTTGCGCGAAACCTCAAAATGGAGCGATCCGCATCATGCTCGCTGTCTGCCATATATACTGGTGTTGGTTTACGTTCGTGGATTGGCTCGATCTGCGCACGGCAACGGCCGATCAAGCCTGACTTCAAATGGCTGCACTTTCTAGAGGCGACTTTGAAAAGCTTCACAAGTCTGACTCCATTTCTCGACCGCTCGCCATCTTCGTCTCGACTCGTTCCTGTCTTCCTGCTCTGTACAAGACTCCTGTACATGCCCGAGCAAGCCAGCAAGAAAACAGAGCACCAACTGCCATCCGTTTAAAGTGTGAATTCGGGCTCGCTACCGACTGCTGAAACAAGTCCGGTGTTGATGCAAGGTCCATGGGATGAGCTCAAAGAACAAGACAGAATTCTGAAGCAAGCCTTCCAGCAATCTCGTTTGCAAGTCGGACTGGGCTTCTATAGTGCTGGAGCGGTGAAACGAGGTTCACTGTTGTCGGTATTCACAAGCTCACGACCTGCGCTTCTGCGTCCCCAAGACATTATGAAGGCATGTTATTTCAAGGGCTCAGAAGCAGCTTGGTGCCATGCGCTGTGGCGTAGTGAAGACTCATGCAAAATTTCTGAAGCCTGGAGTGAGACGGCGGAAGAAAAGGGCTTCACTGGAACTAACGAAAGGCAAGCTTTGAGCCTCTTCGCTTGTCGCGAAGATAGGCAGCGGACTCCTCGCATTGCTTCAGACTCAACTCTTTGCTGGGTGGGCAGGTTCGAGGACTGTCAGCCACATGGGTCGGAATATCCCGGAGCTCATCCCCCGGTCGCTCGCCTGTCACCACTGGGTAGTGGTGCTTCCGACCCCTCCTGCGACGATGCACGCGACTTTCAAGTTGCCAAGCAAGGTTGCTTTGCTGCAGAGGCCGACGTGTGAAAACAAGCTTCAGAAGCGATTCCTCTGACACGCTGTCTCTTGATTCTTCGAAACTATTTTCAGAGGAGTGGGGCGATGAACTCGCCGACGACGACGTTGTTTCCCTCAGCTACTTTCTAACGTTTAAGTTTGCCTCTGCGGCCGCGGGCAGGTAAGAAGCTGAGGCTGCTGGCACTATGTGCAGGAAAGGGTCGAAGATGTGCAAGACCTACAGTGTCGCACGTTTCCTCCAAGAAAGCCGGCTGTGTGCTGCTGACAGATGGCTTGGCCGTTTCCCAGCAAAGCCGAAGAGACCCTTCCCCTGGACGGCACAATGCTCTAGGATTTATATAGGATGCGTTCAAATCCCCTCAAACCCATGGAGCATGGCAGCTGACCTGTGTAGTTTTGTGCTCCGTCGGACCATACCGTTGCATTGATAGTCGCAGTCGACATCACCTAGGTCCTAGGTCAAGATCGGCCCTGCACTCATTTCAACACCGGCTGCTGTCCATCACCCAAGGTTCGCAAGATGCCACCCTACTACAGCCCAGACGGGTTCCTCAAGAGCCGAAACGCGCTAAGGTCCTAGCAAGAGGTGAAGCCTCTAGCATGCCGGGAGGTGCTACCGTCTCGGACCTTGGCGGTGATTCACGGCCCTGCTGATAACATTCTATTGGACCGACTTTGCTTTTGAGGCTGCAGCGGCACCTCCAAATCAGGCGGCGGCCCGTCCCCGGCTGAGCCGGTCTGCCTCAGTCCGGTGAAGCTCTTGCTGGCAGATTGCTGGCATTACTTCCGAGCGCACCACGCAAAGGCTGTGGGGCCTGGAAGTGGCCGGGTCAGATGTCCAGCGGAGCCTGTGCAGGTGAGCACGTCGCCTTACGAAAGACTCTGTTGCAAAGCCTTCTGCGGCCTGGGCGACCCTCCCAGAGAGCAGCAGGACGCCAACCTCGCACGAAGCTCTCATGGCCACATACTGTCATCGTGCGTCTACAGTATAGTCCTCAAGGTGCCCTTCTGTCAGGCCATCAACCTACATCGATTTGGGTTTCGAGCTTTGCAAGTATACTATGCAGGCATATCTTCGCAGTCAGAAGCAGCATCTAGAATCTAGAAACACGTTAGCAACCCTGTGGTGCCTACAGCACTGACATTAATATCATAATTATGGGCACAGTATGGCACAGTCATAGTGCGAATGTGCCGTTCAGGCCTCGAGGACTTGGCGCGCCATGAGGCTGCCGCCGCTGACCAGCATGTCGACGTGAGACACCGGAAGCCTGTTGAGTTGTTGAGAGACATGGAAGTGCTCTGCACCCTCTGACAACTATTGCGCAGGATGCTTATCGTGGGAACACGACTTCAATGTTGTGATTGGCCGCAAGAGCGCGAGAAGTTGAGTCCTCGGGGCTGCAGGTGAGGCGGAAGGGATTGAAGCCTGTTTGAGCTCGAGGGGCAGACCGTTCCGGAAAATCGGGGCTCGTCTTTGGAAGGCCAACAGCGCCAGAGGAGATCCACATCTACGTTTCCACCCCCCCGTCCCCTGAGGCAATGTGTGCCCAGTGATGGGCAGGGTCAAGGCAGCGCACAAGTCTCGCTACGGTAATGACTGGACATCGCGTGTCACCTTTGGTGCACCGTGAGAGTGTTGAGGCATGTTGAGACTTTGGTGCTTTTCAGTTCTGACCAATTCCGATTGGACTTGGGACGAACTCCGACTGTAATCTGAATTATTGAGCGTTCGTCAAGGAGCTGGCTTCCAGCCCCCCTGTGCCCCCACACGTAGCGAGATGAGCAGAATGCAGGCACTGGCAGAAATTCGAAGCAAAGCTGTGCCTCCACAGGTGGCGCTGGGTGCAGATCATGCCCTAGCACGGGACTTCGTCAGACTGAAGAGAGACCGCTGCCTTCACAACCAGCCTCCAGGATCCAAGCCGAACATCTCGTTCAGCAAATCCCCAAAGCCACCGTCTCTTGCGAACTGGCAGACGCTGGCTTGGTCTGTTCAATCGAGCAGCCTTCTTGCAGCCTCCTCGCATGATACAAAGTTGGGATCAGCGTGTCCTTGCCTTAGGCAAGGGGCATTTCAGGTTCATGTTGTCTAAGCAGTGTCATCCCTTGCAACATGCAACTGCAGGCCACCACCACCGCCGTACCATCCGTACCCTACCGTACCCTACACTCCCTACACATGCCATCTGAACAAAGGCCCCAGCACGGCCAGGCGGTTCGAATGCCTCCGAAATCCAGAGACACCGGGCAGACACCGGGCAGGAGCAACACCGCAAAGGCGAGTCTGAGCCAAGGCGCCAGAGATCCCAAACCTTGTCGACTCTTGCTCGCCTCCGGCCCGTGTGCGCATGCTTCGTCTCCCACACTCTGTGAACGTTGGGTCACGGACAGCTCCTGCAACTTCTGCCTGCACCGGCAGACATTGAAATTCAAAGCTGAGGAATGCCACACTCGCAAACTTGCCTGTCCGTCGAGCTCGCCCGAAAAGAGCGGAGGATCGCCCGCAGCACCTTCAGCGGACAACCAAAGGGCCTAGAGACGGGGCGCAAGCTTCGGATCGCGTTCTTGGCTCCTGGCCTCGGCTCGCGAAAGCCTGCCGCTCTCTGACAAATTCCAATACCTCCGCTTCAGAGTCGTTGAAGACTTCGCAAGAGAGCTCTTCGGGATCTCAGAGCCACACTTGAACCATGCCTCAGATCGCTGCAAAGTTTCACGTTCGGGATGTGACGAGCATGTGAGGCCCCAGACCCTTCGCTCTTCAAGGTCTGGGGGGGGTCCAAGCTTCATGCATCGGAGGTGCTCCTGAAAGTGGACGACACTTAGCAACTTGCACACATCACAAACCAGGATAACAACGGACAACAGTGTGCCTGCACATTCCGCCAAACCCATACCTTAGCCGGGTGTCCACTGCTTGGCATCTCGGCCTGATGCAAGCTCCTTGTCTTGACACGCATCAACCAAGGCGGTGGCAAAAAGCTCATGGGTAAGGAAGTCAGATGCACTTACCTTGCTGGAAGACGGGATGTGCTTTGTAATCGCAGGTTGGCAACATGTTGCACATCTTGCAGTGCAGTGAGCAGTGGTTGAGATGGAGACCTCCTGGCGCAACTCTGTGCCCACTCCACCCGCCTCAACATTTCACAAGGTTCGCTACACGCTTTTTCCGATGCAGAGAACCTCACCTCTATGGCATCTGCCTCGACGGGAAGAATGGAAGAAATCCTTGCGGGATGGCATGCGCACTGCAGATATTGAACCGCTTGAGCCGGAGTGGCCCTTGAGTTCCAAACGTCCGAAGCAACATCGATTTGGCCTGGGCCCAGAGCCAATGTGGTCTGATGCAAACTGTGGCACACCTACAAAACTACGAGTACGACTTGATCGAAAAAATCTCAGGAAAAGACAACCTTGCCGTTGACACTGACTGTGTCCGAAGCCAAAAACTCGAACCAGCGCAGCGGGTCCTCCATGCGAGGAGTAAGGACAAGTGCGGAGAAGCTTTGGAGGACGTGTCAAGTGAGCGGACCACTCCTCGCTAAGCGAAGGAAGCTGCCTCATGGTGATGGCATGTCGCCGGCATTCGGGGCACCTAGCACTCATCTCGCACGGAGACTTCCGCTATCTCATCTATTCAATCAAACAACAACCTGATTCTCATGTTCTTCCCCCATTTTCGCTGGCCGAGGCAGCTGCCTCAAGGCTTCCCCCTGCGTGTTGGTGGATGATGTGTAGCCTCGCCTGGCCGGACCGAAAGAGCAAGTCATGGGCCCCGGCCCTTTCTGCGGCTCCCGTGCGGCCAACCACGTCAGGATGGCGCACACTTACTGCAAAGCAGGTGTAGGCAAACAGCAGCATCAGCTGCATCCACAAAAGCCACTGGGGTAGACCTGTCAGAGCAGGGATGTCGAAGTGTACACATCCTGCAACACTCCAAAGCATGAGAAAATAATAGAAACCATGCGTGCACACCCGGGGAGATGCATGTTCAGCAAGAAGCAGTCCTAGCGGACCTGTCTGCAAGGGTAAGCAAGACTGCTACAAAGCACAACAACAGGACGCACGAGGGCCTGCAAAGTGGCTCCAAGCAAATGGGGCATTCTGCACCTGAGTAATGACTGTTACATCGTGCAAGCTCCCACAGCACCAACCAAAACAGACGGACATTTGCCAACACACATCAGACATGATCTCCCTCAACCAGAGATCACGGACCTCCGCGATCGCGCGGAGGCGCACATGGGTCTTTCAGGAACTCCTTCGGCTGACATGGGGCAACTGAAGCACGAAAACAAAGAACCGCCGCTCTGCCGGTCCTCTTCTTCAGATGCTCTGAGATATTGCAGGAAGGAATCCAGTAGAAGCCTTGCACGAATCCAAGAGCCCCGCAGAACTGATGGAAGCAAAGTCGGATCACGGCGCCTGTACTGATTGCAGCCGGCTTGGATCTGCAGAACGGCGTACCTGCGAAAGGCGGTGTGCATGCCGCATGCCTGCAACAATTACACAACATGAAACTCGAAGATTTGCTTACCAGTAGTTCCTATCCGTCACGGGGCACCTCAGGGAATCTGGGCTGAGCCAGTACGGCTTCAGCCCAGGCCGTGCCTGCTGCACAATCCTGCACGAAGCCCAGCATAGGGGAATCTGGAGTGAATCTGGCTCACAGAGCCACATTAGTGGATCATTAGCGCGATGCATGTCTGCGTTCCAGAGAAATTGCTAGGCTGGTCCGGAGGGCTGTATGACTACCAACCATGCAAATAACCCAGTCGTTTTGTCTGCTGCCAGGCACGTGCAGAACTTAGCGGCCGCTGGCAGAACGCAAGCAGCAAGTCTTCTCGGCAAAACAACCGGGTAAACACATGCACTGCATTGCACAGCAATGTTTATTTACATTTTTGATACTCTCTGCATGTATGCCCTTCATACCCCTTCATGGACTCAGGAACTTTTTCAAACTTCTTCCAGCACAGTCCGATGCATTGCCCATGCATCCGGTCCTCTCGGCGACTCGACGCCAAGCCAAAGAACTGGCCTAGCATCGGAGAATCTGTAAGTTTGACAAGCTGCTGCATGCTGAGGCCGGTAGTCTCAGCCTCCCGCTCTTTGAAGCGCCGGCATGAGGAAGCGCTTGCCGTCGATTCGCGCCAGGACTTCCAAGTTCAGAATAGAGTCTCTCGAGCTTTTGTGGAAGGCACCTCGCCTCGAAGGGTGAGCAGAGGAAGCTCTGCTTGGAAGCAATAGCCCAGAAGCTCCTGGAAACGCCGAACATTGATGGAAGCACATTCACAGTCTCCAGCGCATGGTCGCAGCGGGCAGCCGGCTCACGGAAACGACTGAAAGTTTAAGCTTTAAGACATCTTAGAGACCGCATCGGTCGCACCAAGTTGAACCGCCGGTCCATTCTCCGACACTCAACAACCGGTTCAGGGCTGGCAACTCTGATGCGTTGGTTGGCACTCAGCCATGGATGTCAGCCCTATGCCCTGGTTGTTCGTCCGATGCAAGAGATTGCTGCTTAAGTGGCTGCAGCCGCCTCGGCCATGCTGTCCGGTATTGGAAGCCCTTTCCAGGGTGCAAATCGCTCATAACAAGCCAAGTGTAACACATCGACAGTGAATTAAATAGTGCGCCTCTCGAGAGTGCTCCAGCAGCAATGTCTGGAAGACCTTTGCCTGCCAAGCCAAGCACATCCGCGACAACGTTGCGGTTCGTTTTTGCCTTTGGCTTGGAGCCTTCTGCAGAGCGCGCAACCTCGGCCCAAGCCGCCCTGTCGCCCCGCAAGATCCTGGCTGCAAGTTCACTTCGGCTGTAAGCTGTGAAACAGTGGAACCGAACAAGGCCTCAGCCGCAAGCCACTGTCGAGGCCACTCAGCATTCCGCAGGGATCCTGCGCAGCACACCGGCCGATGCAGTGACTTTGGAAATACCAGCCAGCGTTCGCCAAGAATTGGGATCAAGGCCTCCTTGAGGATTGCCGCTGTGTAGGGCGAGAGTCCGTCATCGGCTAAGGCACGTGGGTCCGCCTGAGCTGCCGTGACTTTCCTATGAACTAGACAGCGAATGTCCCGAAAACGCCGACATCTAGATCCATGCTCATCATCCTCAGCTTCATGCTCATGCTCATGATGATCCTCATCATCCTCATCCTCATCGTCAGCAACCATCACATCACCGATTTGGGTACACGAGGCACGTGCAACGACAATTGTCGCAGCGCCACGGCGAATTCAGAGTCTTGAGGGTCGGACGCCGAGATCCAGCGTCAGCTGCGCTGCGATCCTGGGGCCGGGCGCCTGCAACAGATACTGTAAGCCACTGTAAGTGTTCAACACGGCAAGGCCTCCCAAAAAGACTGTGGCCTCCATCTCTGCAGCAATGCGAGCACAGGCAGCAGGATCCTGGCTGCTCTGGGCTTAGCGAGGGCTTCTGAGTTTCTGGCAAAACTGGTCGGGAAGACACATGCGCCGGAGGCAACTTTTCCCGCAATGACGCCGGCAGCCACAATCAAGGCAAACCTTACAAGTCATGCGGCATGCGACAAACATGCAAGCTCCGCTTTTCTAGAACCTTGGACGTAGGGTCAACGGCATCCAAAGCGGATTCTCCGAGCACATTGCGGCAAAGGGTTGCGGATCTGGCCATGCCCAAAGGCTGCAACCTGCCGGTTGCGGCTTCCCTCATCCGCTACCCTCAATCAGATAGGTGGGGCGGGCAGAGTGCCGCATCCCTGTGCTGCTTTGCCCTTTTGCCCTAGGCATCCCTACGCTGTGTTGTGAGCAGCCTTGATTTCTATCTGATGCCCGAAAACCGAGGCAAACTGCCAGTGAACAGCCTGCCTCCCCCTACGCTTGTCTGCCAGTAGCCACGATTACGATCACTGTCCATCTATTCTTGCAGCATATGGCCGACTACACTACACTCCATGGCAGTTGCAGTGAGGGCAACCACCCAACAACACACAACGCTAGCCACCCAGGAAACATCAGACAGCTACCTCGTCACTTGAGCCAATCGACCGAACCAAGACACCTCGTTTTCTGAGCTTGCCCTCGCTTCTGAGAGAATCCTCTGAAATCCTCTCATCCAGATTTCAGTCACCAGGAACTAGGAGCTCCATTCTCTCAGGCCCCAGGCCTCGCCAGGTGCGACAAAGCGCAACGTCAATGCGACATCGTGGCCACCGTCCACCAGCAGCCGAACCTCGCTTGCTGTGCGATGCATATAGCAGACCCCTTACGACGGGTTGCTTGAGGGTTTTCAGGTCTCATAGATGCCTCCAAGGTTATGCTGCTATTGATCTGTTCACATGTCTCAAAGCACCCAGCTCCCTCGGGGGCTGGAAAGGTTGAAGGCGAGTCCACTTCGAGCTTTCCGTCGCATTCCTGCTGGCAATGCATCTCTTGAGTTGGGCCAGCTCAATTCCCCCACAGATATCGAGCCTGTGGTTTGCTCCACATGCAAGTGGCCCAGGGCGGATCCGTCCACGAAGCAAGCGGTGTCCTATGCGCAATACTTAGCAATTTGAGGGCGTGCACACATGACAGCTCTGCAAGGAGTGTCCTGGATAACACGTCGTTGGGAGCTTGAAACCCTCTAGACCTGTTTCCAAAGTCACCATACTCGTCTTTGCTGCATGTGGATAGTCTGTTGGCGACGACAACGATGCACAAGCCTGGGTACGCCAATCGATATGTGGCCGTTGAACCAGAAGGTGTTGATGCAAACCTGGCGGAGCAAACCATGCCTCCTGTGATGGAGATGTCTAGATATGGCCACACGCAACACATTGCCAGGCCGACCGTCCTGATGTGCAGGCACCACCAGTACTGCCTTTCTGGACATGGACATCGACCATATCGGCGCAGCACTTGCAGGCTTGAATGCTCCGCACCTGGTTTTGCCCAGAATGACCCTCAGTGTGCTGCCTTCCAGCGCCTGCATTAGCGAAACCGGTCGGACAGACAGGCTTTCAGTTTTCTTATGTCCTAGTGCAGTGCAACCGTGCCGGCCGGCATACATCACAGAGCCGTGGCCACGCTCCAGCTCTCTTGCATTTTTCTCATCGCGAGATTGCGTCTAGCATGGACTCCGGCATGGACCGAGACCCTCGCTGAGGCCACGATCGCACATCTTCACAACGGGTGAGTGCGGGGTGGGTTGGTGCTTTCAAACTGGACGCGGGCATGACATGAGACACACGATCAGGAATGGTAGGGCCTTAGAGTCACTTAGATGCAGACTCATTGTCGCTCCGCTGTCCGCATGCATCCTGGCAGAAGATGAAGCTGTCGCAAGTTGATGTTTGCACAGAAACCCTGTGGCAGGTCAAAAAGCATCTCCAGATACCTGGTGGACCTAGTTGCTAGAAGCTCTAATTTCTTAGGAGCCCTTCGTCATCATGGTGCAAGCCGTCTTCTTCAAAGCCGGCAGACGAGCACGGGAGCTAGATGAAGTTGGAATTTCCTAGAGATTTCAGGAAAGCACGCTGCTGGATATTTTCGCAACCAAGCTGCTAGAAGTTTCCTTCATTCAGAAACCAAGCTGCTAAGCTTTTCCTTCACTCGGAAACCAACCTGCTGAACTTGGGAACTGCACGTTCCGCTTCTGTGGACATGATTGTCTGAGAGTTTTCGACTCAAGATGCCGAGCCTGAGAAAGAACAACATCCCGGGCAAACGCTGTGAATCTAGCATCTTCTAGCATTATCTAGCATCCCTGATCCTCCCGGACCTGGCCAGAAATTTTCATCATTTTCTAGCATCGTCGTCAGGCAGTGGCCGAAATCTAGCATTATCTAGCCCTGTCTAGCATCCTGGTTCTCCGGGACCTGGCCGGAAACTAGCACTTTCTAGCATTGTCTAGCACATTGTTTAGCATTCTCTCAGTAGCATGTGCAGGGTGGGGCACATGGTTTAGGGTTTAGCTTTCCATTCTTGAGGCGAGAAAGCCCAGCACTTTTGGGCTGTATTGCGTTTCCGGACCTACCCTTTCATCCTCTCAAAAGCCACAAAAGTTCGCCACATGAGCAAAGTCATTATCTAGCTTTTCTAGCTTTGTCTAGCTGCCCTTGTCTGGCTAGATTTGTCCCGTGGCTGTGAACCTGACGGCCAGGAAGCCACCACCAATGTCCCCCCTAAATAATCTGTAATGCCACACACTATCTCCATCTTTACGAAGCGCTTGGTCCTTTTCTGCTCGGCCCCTATGTCGACACAGGCGCGCTTGGAATCGGGCTCGGCATCGAAGGAGGTCAAATCAACTCCCAAGCTCAACGACTTACAAAGCTCGAAACGTTCTTCGGGCTCCTCGGCTTGCAGAGCGGCTTGATTCCAAAATATCTCGACTTGCTGAATGGTCAAGCCTTGCTGACCAGATCCAGTTTGCAGATTGTGCTTGTTCGTGGCCCAAGCAGCATGAATCCCAATCTTCCGGAGCACCTGCTCCTTGTATTCGTCGGTAGTCCTTTCTCCCTGCCGCGCCAGCTTGAGGCTGTCTTCAAAGGCAAGGAGCTGTCGGACAAAACCTGCATTTGGCCACAAACGCCACCGACTGGCAGCAAGCTGGTTGAAGGCCTCAAGAACGGATACCTTTAGTTCATGTACTAGGCAAGCAATGGCCACCGTCGCGCTGCGAGAAGCCCCCTGTCGGCAGGCGATTAAGGTCGCTCTGCCAGGAACAGCCATCACGAAATCGACGGCAGATGCTAGTCGCGAGCCCAAGTCTTCGCTTGCACTGTCCCTCACTGGTACGATATGCAGGTCGGCGGTGGAAATACCTGCGATGGACAGTGCATCCTTCACCGCGGATACGTGGGCATCACGCTCAGGCTTCCCACAAACAACCACTCGTTTGACGCAGTGCTTCTGCAGCATGCTCGCGATCGCACTTGCTGACAGCCCGCCAAGCCCACAGATCTTTAGGTCATCAGAAATGCCAGCTATGTTATCGACCTGGGCATGAGGTGGCTGCCCCCATGCAATCCGAGGTTGGTCGGAAAACAGCTCCAGTTCTGCCGTACTCTTCCCAAGCAAAGCCTGCTTACACTTTGCAAAAGCCTCTTCAAGGGGAAGCCCTTTGCACTGGTCCCAGAGATCCTCAGCTTCGGCTCGGCTTGCGTGGATCCCGTTGTGCCATGCCGTTGCCCAGGCTGCGTGAGCACCAATGCGACGCAGAACCGGCAGGCTGCTGTTCGGCGCTGGCAGCACTTCACGCTTTATGCGTGCTGCACGTGCTTCCAACTTTATCAGAGAGTCCACAAGCAAAGCGCTTGGCCAAATCCGCCATCGTGTGCGAGCAAGGAGATCAAAGGCACTCGCCAGGTCCGATCCCCCGCTCATCAAATACGCGAGCACGACAGCTACGCTTCGAGATGCGCCTTTGCTGCACACGACGAGAACGGCATTTAGATCGTCGTCCAAGGCGTGCTGGATAAAGGCCACAGCGTTCTCCAAAATTCTGCAGATGTCAGACTTATCCTCTGGAACAAGAGGAGCAATATGAAGCTCCGTGCCACCATCAACCACTGCTTCCCTGGCAGCCGCAACGTGCACGTCCTGATCAACACGCCCACAAACAATCAGATGGGTAATCGCATGTGTCTGTAGTAGCAGACCAATGGCTCCCGGGCTTCCGCCTCCCACTCCGCCAATCAGAAGCCGGTCCTCACGGGCTGCTCACTTTTCAAAAGTCGACAAGCAAAGTCGGCTGGGAAATGCCTGGACTTCCGAGACTTGTGGACAAGGTCCAGGGTTCGCTGTCGTGGCCATGGCTGATCACTATGAGCACCGCAGCTCAGATCATGTTGGCAGGGCGGAACTGGATCTGCAATGCTAGGTCCACCCAGTTGCTCCAGGCGGGGAGTCTTTGGACCTGTCTGTCAGCACATTTCACGGATGTCTCTGAACCAAACACGGCCTCACAACACGCAGTGCTCAAATCTGAGCCGAAAATCAATAGCAGCGATTCGCCGGTGCTCCTTTCAAGTCTCATTAGGACAGGTTCGATGTGAGCATCTTTTGGCAGCAAAACATGAGCATAGTATGTCAGACTTGAGGCTGTACATGGGACAAGAGGATCGAAAGCTGGGCCAGAATCGATGAACACTACAAGTTGAAGACTCGTTTCCAGACCACTGCTCATAATGTTGCATCCCAGCATTCACGCAGCGTCAGTAGGACACATTCAAGGAGACGGCAGATTTGCTCGTCGTAGTGCAGACATCTGCTTGGACTCTTGCTGGCCAAGGCGATTCAAAAATCACAGACCGAAGACTACTAGCGGTGGAGCTGGCAAAGCGAAGGTACAGCCCTTTGTGCCTGGACGTCTGCCAGGCCAATGAGCAAGACTGCACCAGATATCAAGCTGCCAGGCTGCTCCACAGAAATACATGTATGTTGACGCAACAATATTATAATGTTCCTCATATTCCTAAAGACCACGTTCTCTTGCACGAGCCTCCAACTCGCTGGAGCAGATAGCGCTCCAGAATTCAGCAACGGGGAAGTTGCGACATCGAAACGTGCCAGAAAAGCTTCCTTGTGGAAGCTTTCCTTTCTAAATCTGCGTTGGCAGAATGAATACCGAGTGCAAAACGAGATCGTGTGTTCAGTGCTATGGACCGTCCTAGCAGCCCTTATCAGTCTGCACCGGCAGAGACATGCTCAAAGTGCTAGGCCTCAACGGCTCAGTCATCATCCTCAGGTTGTCAAGGTGCTACATGAAGCTGCCGCCATTCAGCTGTCTTGTGCATGCAGCGTGGCTCCGGGGCAGCCAAAACACAAGTCAGCAGGCAAAGGATCACAGAGACAAGACCTAGTTCGGCAGATAGGTTTCGGGTTGCCAGCCGGGGTTCGGAGTCCCAGTCGTTGGCTTGTTCCCCCTCGGGAAACTCCACACGCACCTGGGTCAAAACGTGCGAGCTCCAAATCGGGCGCTTGCATGAACGTGTACATCGCTGATCATCGCTGCAAAGCCGAGCGTGGGCACATCGTAAACAAAGCCCTCGTCCGATGGCTTTGTCTGGTGAGCCCGGAAACTGATGTCCATGCGTGCCTGATCTGAACTTGCCATCACGTGCATGGTCATAGCACAACGACACGATGAGGCACCTTGTGTTGCGCAAGTTCGTCATCGTCAAGCTTGTTTAGATTGACCTGCGAACGACAAAGATGGAGATGGTTTGAGGATTGCGAGACAGAACTCAGGTTTATTCCTGCCTGATGATAGTCGACCTCTTGGTTCGTCGGCCTGGGTTCCGTGACACCGTGAGGGCATCAAAGATCTTCAAAGGATAGGCGTGTCCCCACTGGCAATGTAGTTGCCTGGAGCTAGCATTAAGGGCTTTTCAACAACTACACTTGATGTCTGCACTTTCTGCTGGCTTCAATGCTGCTTTGGATCGCAATTCGGTGCACGGCTGTACAGAGACCATAGCACCACGTAAACGTGACATCTACCCAGCATCAACCTGTTCTCTCTTCCTGCTCCTCGCTGCCGCGGCCACTATCAGCATAGACTCTGCTCTCGGCAGCATCACTGTCGTCCGACGATCCTCAGGAGCCTGTGTCGCATACAGGTGCTTCCAACTCTTCCTGCCCGATATTTCCACCAAAATCCAGGCCAGCGGAGAAAAACTTCTTGCTGCGGAGCCCAAAAGGAACGTGAGTCCAGCACTTGATGCGTGTGGCCATTGCCGGAAGATCTCCCGAGCCCGATCTGTGATCTGATGCAAGACGGGAAACATCGTCAATATCCTGGATGGCCTGCTGCTCTGAGAACCCTCAGGATACTTCCTGTGTCCGACCATCCTGTCCAATGTCAGAACCCTCAAGAGCTGAAGCTCCAGGCACGATAGCTTGGACTGCAAGCTTGGTTGCGGCAGTGACCTTCAGCACTATCTCGAAAGAAGTGTCTCACTGGAAGCTGCACTGCTCTGCTGCTTCAACCAGCCTGAACTCACGCTTCTACATCAAGCACTGCTAAAAAACGAGTGTTGACTTCAACAAGAGCTACAGTGAAAAGCTTGGTGTCTTAATCTAAGCACAGGTACAGTTGCCACATTGGGCTTTGCCCCCGAGCTGATAGATCACCCGGCCGCCCGAGTCCTCCAAACCTGAAGAGAACTAGCTTGGTTTGCGTGGAGTTGGAGACTTGAAGTATCTTCAAGTCTTGCAGGACTGGCCAAGCTGCTGCAGGGTCCGCCAAACTGGATCAAGCTGCTAGCATCACGGCCAAAGGTCATCGCGGCGGCGTCATCGCAGGACGGGCAGGTCGGCCAGACAGCAAAGACGGCCAGATTCTGAGCGTCGACCTCTTGCATAGCACACGGCTGCCCATGTGCAGCCGGACATCAAACAACCAAGGCCAGAATATGTAATGCGTCCCTGAGCGTAGCCATGCTGAGAACAACCGAGGAGCACCTGCATACCCAGCGTCATCCATCATTATGTGAACCTTGAACGTTCTCACAGCATGACCACCAATGCCACGTACGATAGGAGCTCTGCGTTGCGAGCTGAGGGCCTGGCTACCTCTCTCAGTTTGGAGCCATTCACCAGCATGTCAGGCAGCCTATCTCAATCTGGTGCACGAAGCGCAAATGCTCGCACAGGCGCGGGGCTATCGACGATTTTCGCCAAGCGGCGGCCGGCTGCGCCTGCCGAAGCTGGGCCTCCAGCAGCTGCCACGCACGGCGAAAGGCGCGGCCAGCTCCTGCAGCTCAGCGGGACTCAAAGCGAAAGGGCCGACAAACGGCCGAAAGGATGAGATCGGCCAAGGCACAAAGCAATCGCATCGAGAGCCGAATCCTGCCCACCTGGCCAGGATCTGCCTTGTCCCCACATACGCTTCGCCGCTTCGCACTGCAGCACTGCTGGGGTGTAGTCAGCTCAGCAACGGGCTTGAGCTCCTCAAGCTCCACGGTGTCCGGAATAAGCCGTTCGAAGCTGCTGCAGGGCTCGTCTGCCCCACGCTCGAAGCCATCTCCGAAGGTCACCCGAATGAGAGCCATTGGCTCCAGTGTCCCATTATCTTGAGCATGCTGCAGGACTGGCTTGACTCTTGACTCCACGCTTCACATGACACTGCAGGTGAGACCTCGAATGTTCGTCCACGCAGCTGAGCATGCCGCGTTGCCGCGTCATCAGATGCCTTCACGCCATCATGCGACCTTTGTAGTGACGGAGAAGCACATAAGCACGTGACTCAGACTACAAAGATGGATTACCAAGGTCCTAGGCTCGGGGAATCTGGGATGAAGGTCGCTCGACGTGTTGCACACACTGCCTGTTCCTACTCCAAGTGAACGGCATGGCGTCTTGAAGCTTCTTGACCTCTGCAGGATTGTAAACCATTTTGGATTCGGCACAATTGTTTTTCTCGGGCAGCGGCGAGCGAAACGATCTGATCAAAGCAAACACCGCTGTCCTGTTGTCTTTGGGTCGAGTTGGGCAACGAGCAAAGAAACCAAAATCTCTCCGCATTTGTTCGAATTACTGACATTACAGCTCTGTCTTGCCTCAGTAAGCAGCGGCCGGTTCTTCTGGCGCAACCTGCGGCCGTGCGTTCCGAAATCGCATCAGGTAGGTTAGTTCATTTCACGAAAGTCGAAGTTTCGATCTGCGCTTAGAGGGGTTCTGGGGATGCCACTTTTCTGCCACTCTTGCTGGGTCCGCCGAGGCCCGTAGCCTCTTGAGCGTGACCTGCAAAACAGTTGCAATTTGCTCGGTCTTGCCGCAATCTATAAGCTTCAGGACATATTATCGATTTCTGCAACAGCTCACACCTTGCGGTGGAAGAGCTTGCCGGTCTTGACCTGGTGCAAAAAGAAAGCCATTAGATGTATTTGCAAATGTCGGCACGGGGTCCGTCTTAAGACACGACTGTGGGACCGCACCTCAAGGTACTCCAGAATAATCGCTGGCGGGTCATAGTTGAGCCCGAAGCGTCTTGGACAGACCTGCTGCGGTTCGGCACACATCATACTCGTCGTATGAGCCAAAGCCGCAAAATTAACAACGCAATCAGAGCATATCAGAGCCCTGTGTCCCCCGCCGCCTCCACACATTGAATAACCACTCATCACACACACACAAACACACAGACACATATATATATATATAGATATGTACAAACACATTCACACTTACTTGTGCATTCATCGGCAGCCTTCGACCGACGGTCATGGTATCTGGATAAAGCCAAGCTTTATGTTCAGAGCCTATATCGGGTCCAAAACCTGTCATCTGGCCTAAAGAGCCTCATTCACTCTGGTTGCATTCGCTTCTTGGCCGGTACAGCGCAGGGTGTAAAGTTCGGGCGGCCATTGCAAGTACATGGATTGAACGCCCCCAATCCATATCACGCCAAGTTGGAAAAGTCTTCGTTCCAGAATGTCCACTGCCCCCTTGCAAGTTCAAATCTGCTTGCTTAAAGCTGCGCTCAGTCACAGTGTTTGACACACGCGCATCAAATCAATTTAATCTTGGCACCACAACCCGCCATTCCTGTCCCTCAACCAGACACAGGGAGTGGCTGCGACCCTCTGCACGTAGAAGTGCCCAGGGGCAGCCAACCATGAACTACAGACACTTCAAAACCACGTCCGGTTCCCCTGAAAGCAACTGCAAAAAACACCTGAAGGGGATCTGTTTCGGCTGCAGGATGAACAAACCTGTGTTTGATCGGACCTGGTTAAAACGGACGGCCTAGCATCAAATCCATGCATGGTCTGTCATGACAGTGAAAAATAGTGCAAAGCCATGCCCTCTCTCACCAAACATCTGTGGCTGAACAGACCTGGGGCCCCACAATTGGAGTTTACCTTGGCCACAAAGGGCCGAACCCTGCCGTCACAAATTGCGACTGGCAGGAATGTGGCCTGGGCTACCCCAGCGCAGGTATCGCGATAAACGAGTACAGGCATGAAACCCGCAACTACCTGGGAAACTTGTGCATTCATCCGCAGCCTCCGACCGATGGTCATGCTATCAGGATAAAGCCAGGCTCTATGTTCAGACCCCTATATTGGGCCCGAAACCTGTCATCTGGCCTAATAAAGAGCCTCATTCACTCTGGTTGCAGCCACTGCCAAGTACAAAGCAACAGCTTTGAAGGTGCCAAGTGCTATTTTCGCGGCCTTACACAGCACGACACGACGTTTCCAGCCCCGCTCCCCCCCTGTTGTATATGGGACAGCATAGGCAAACATTAGCCCGTCGGCTGCCCAAGGCAAACGATCTATTTCTCTCCTAGGCATAAGGGGCGTCTCAGGCCCCTGCGCTAATTTGCCCACCCGCATTCGTTTGCAGGTCCTCTGGGGGAGCCTGAGATTTTCACGACGGGATGTTGACTGAAACGAGCTCACAGTAACTAGGTCGACATGTGTTTTCAGTCATCCACATCGAGGTTTTCAACGGCGCTTCTCTCTTTCCCTCTCTCTCTCTCTCTCTCTCTCTCTCTCTCTCCCGGGCATGGGGACGGGTCAACGTCCCCGGGCCAATATGGCCCACCCAATAATGTTTATTGGGCGTGGGGAGTGAAGAACGAGTACAAGTCATCACGAAGGCTAATGCCTAAAGTATACGATAACGAAACATTGATGACTATGTACTCTCACTGAACACATGCACGAGGTATCACTTCGTCCCCCCTACCCATATTGCAAAGACCAAAATAGCATAAACCGAAGAGGGTAGGGGGTTGAAGCTTCCCCCTGTCAGGGCATTACGAAACAACTCTGTCTCAGCTCAGAAGGTCCCCCAATGACATGAAGTCTTTCCCTCTCTCTCTCTCTCTTTCTGTCGTCCGGGCTGGGGGGAAGGGAAGACCCCCTTACCCGCGCGCGCGTCAGCACCCCCGACTGTTGCGGAGCGATTTGCAGAAGCGGCGAACAACACTCTCTCTCTCTCTCTTGCAAGCCGCTCCTGCCTCACCGGCCAGTTCCGGAGAGGACATGGATCATGGAAGACGAGGATAACGCTTGTCAACAAATCCTCATGCGATAGTAGCCGATAGTATGTCAGTAAAGCTAGCAGGCTCTCAGGGAGTCCAATCTAGGCTTTCGTTCTAGGTTGGCCGAACTTGGAAGACGCTCTGATGTTGTGAGCTCTGCTTGCTGCTCCTGAGCTGGCAGGGATTTATGTGACATACACCAGGTTGCCATGCCTGTGCTGAGCTAGATTGGTATTCACGTGGGTTTGAAGGCTCGAGCATGGTGTTGCAGCAGCTTCCTCAACACAAGATCACAAAGTCTACTCAACACAATGATTCTCTGTGTCGTGGATACTGCTAGCCTCGATGACATGCATTGCAAGCATGCTGTTCCACGTTTTGGCTCACGATGCTCGAATGAGACAGCGGAAAGTGCTAGACAATGAAGCGCAGCGTGGCTGTCCATCCCTTCGCAACTCGCTGCTCTGGGGATAAGAAGGCTCGACCGTTCACGTGCCGAATCACCTAGGTAGTCCAAGCAATAACACAAGCATGCCATCAGCATCAACCAGTGACCGTCTGTGGACAACGCATGTACGGATAAAGTGCAGGAGGTGAACTCCAAGCCGACTCAGAGACTGCTTCAGACTGCTTCCTGCGCACTTCCTACACGGCTGTGTTCGAAAGATGGAAATGCTTCCACGTTGTCGCTCTCTGTCAGGAGCTCCGCAGCTCCTCACGACTGGGGCTGAGGCAGCCAATTGGCGGTCGGAGAGATCTCCTCGGGCACTCTCCCTCTCTCGCTCTCTCTCTCTCTCTTGAGATCTGCTTTTGTACTCATGGTGGTTCGGATAGATGCAGGGCCGAGATGCTGTAATCCAACTGGAACGTTCCGTATTTCGCATGAGCTTCCTCGGAAGGGATCTCGGATTTTGAGACTAGGTCGCAAAAGGAGTGTCAAAGAGCTCGCTTGTGCGGTCGAGCATCCATTCCTAGGTTGCGGTGCACTGCTAAGCACAGAGTCACACAGTCAATGAACTTGTGCTTCCACTCGACGCAAGTCATCGCAAGTCTTCCATCTAGGCACCATTCTGCAGGATATCTTCGCGCTCAGCCACTCCCAGAGTCTCCTCTATGAAATCGCCCTTTCGTACAGGGGAACCTGAATTGCTTCCACAACATGACTGAATGCGCAGATGTGTTGCTTATACATTGAGACCTGGTCTGATGCCTTCGGTAAGCACATCTTCGGCCTGTGCATCGAGAAGCCTGGTCCAAAGATGGTGGCGCGATAGTGTGTTGTGCTGCAGACGTGTGGCTTGTCATAGAAGAAAATCAATGGCCTGCACAATCTAGTGCAAGGCGCCCAAGGCATGGGCAACAGGCACACCACAAGTTAACCATCCGCCTGAGTGAAGCACAGCCCTGGTGCGGCCATGGTGCGTCAGTGGTACGCCAAATTCCGTAGTGCAATGTAGAGAAAGGCCGTATTTCGATCGGATCGCATGCTCATAGTTCAAGGTTGAGACACCTGGCGGACCCCACAGCGAGGCATGAAATGATCCTTTGAGGATCAAGCTGCTGAGACAGAACACTGGCAAGCTGGTTGTGACAGGACGCTTGGCAAGCCGACGTACTTGACAACTCCAGGGTGCAGAGACATCGTCTCGAGCAGAGCTTCCAAATCAAAGCCGGCAATGAACTCTTGGTCATGCTGAACGACCAGCACATAGTCTGTGGTGATGTGAGCCAAGGCAGCTTTGACGGCAAAGCCGAATCCATGATGATCGCTAATGGACAGGACCTGGGTACCAAAGAAGGCAGCGTCCTCGCAGTTGCACGATTCTGCAGATTTCTCGCGCAGTCGCTCGATGAACTGTTCGTAACGCTGTGCTTCTTCAATCCTAGGTTGCACATGCTCTCCGCACTGATTGCACTTTCGGATTCGAGAGTGCTAAAACATGGGGGGGAATTGATGAGGTCACGGATCTTGGTTTCATATCCAAGCAACATGTCTTCAAAGCTCGGGGTTCTGTGCTTGCAGCCCGGCATTCAACACTGATTACGCAACAGCCAGTTTTCGAGGCACGGCTTCGGAATGCTATTGTTTGTTGGTCCTTCCTGCGATGCCGCACGAGGTCTAAGCATGACGTGGTTTCATGGAAGGGGCCTTTGTACCGCACTTTGTCTGATCGCTGTGGTTATCGTCTGTCGCTTATTTTGGCTGCTGCTTGCTGCTTGTGTGGATGTTTTGTTTTGCTTCCGCCTTCTCGCTTGCGTTTCTCATGCATTCCACAGCATTGCTGGCCAGGCTTGGCTACTATACTCCTATTACGCCTACCTTCGCCTACTACTCCTACTCCTTCTCCTTCTCCTACATGCTATCATACGTTATCAATCTCGCAACGACCTCATGCCCGACGACATCGCTTATGTGCAAAATTCTGCGAAGTCAACAGCCCATGTGAACAATAATAGTGCAAAGCGAACTCAAAAAGCTGCAGAATCATGCCTGGGGTTCGTCACCTTTCCTGCTTTGTGATTTGTTTTGTGCCCCGGTGGCACGCACTTGCAGCCATCACAAACGATGATCTTCGGAGCTGAACCAAGTCCAGGCACCAGTTGCATGCCTCACCAATGAACCACTATTCAGACGGAAAAGCCAGATGACCCTGCTGTGTATCATATATATATATATATTATGTATATATATATATGTATATCATATATTAAAGTGACATACTTTCTCTTGTACCAAGAGGCTGGCCAGGACACGGTCAAGCATCTCAGTGCTAGGGTTGGAGGGAACCGGGCTTGTGGTAACAATGACGGAGAGGTTGGTGGCTTTGGTCGCATTCAAGCGCAAACTGCTGGTTCGCATCTGCATCTGCATCCCATGCTCTGTGAGAAGCCTCTTGGCACTCTCCCGCCAGAAAAGGTGCGGCAAGGGAAGCTCCGTTCCCGTTGACGCAGCTCGGAGAACAGAGCACAAGGCAAGCACGCTGGGTGGATTGCAGAATGTGAGACTAACTGCAGTTGTGGTTTCCAGCTCCTGCTGCATTCGTTTGATGTCCCCGCAAATGCCATTCACAGAGAGAATTGCACTCGCGACATGAATCCGCCGCCATGGCTCTTCACATGCCTGGCACGTGTCGTTCCAAGCCTCCACCTGTCCCCCTTCCAGGATTCTCATCACGACGAAACAGCTGGAAGCATAGGCCGCTGCTAGATTGGCGCATGCCACGCCGAAGCGCTGGCTGCTCTGGCCCCGTTGCCTCGTTGGAGAAACCGGAGCTCAGCACAGCAAAAGGGCCTTCCAGCACTGTCACGACTGAGTATCGCACAAAGAAATCCTGCATTCGATAGCCGTCGACGTCGCAGGGTCGATGGATCTCTTTGTCAAACTCTCCATCTCATCTGCGCCTCTAGGCTCCGGGCACAGAAAGTGCATCCAAGAACCACGAAAGAACACCGAACCCTTATTATCTACTGCGGTTGGTTCGCGAGCAGACCCGTACACTTTCTCAGCAAGGGCTGCAAGCTCTCTGCTTGGCATGCACTTCTGCGGGGTTGTACTCTGCGAGATGGCCAGCTCATGTTGCAGAATGGCGAGCTCCTGGGCTAACTAAGGGTCTCCCCCTCCAGGCCAGCAAGCAACGCAACCAAAGTCTGAAGTACAACCCTCAAGCAAGACCTTGCTAAAATAGCAATGTCAAGGGCTGACCAGCGGGTGACCCCCATCACCCTTCGTGTACGGTAAGTCAGTTTGCATGGCCGGCCCCATCAGGATCCAGTCTTTGTCGTGGGGTTGTGAAATCCCCTAATAGTGGCCAGCTTCTTTGGGGTGAAATTTATTTGAGGCACAGGTCCCATTCCTGCCACCACCACCACCACCACGACGTCGAGTGCCACTACTGATGTGGGACATCCGCGTGTTGTTAGCTATTGGGGCAGCACTAGCTCTTGCATTTTTGGGGGCCGGGTCTACACTGGTCAGGAGCATGACTCGGTTTAGGTCCCAGTAACAGCTGGCTCAGGCACTGCAGGCATTGCAGCTGTCGGAGCCTGTTCTGACATGTCGCTCGGCACAAGGTCGTGATAGACTACAACTGATCGTCTACACTCGCCTTGAACCGAAAGGGCTTCAAGGACTCGCCAGAAGGGTGGTTATGGTGGTTAAAGTCAAAGTAGGTGACCCGATTTATAGACACGTATCCGCAACATGTCCGGGCGGCTCATCGCTGCCGGATGCTGGCCGCTGCCGCTGGGCAGTGCCTTCGCAAGAAATGCAGCGTGTCAAGCTACCACAGACAGAGCCAGCGGGCCAGGGCTGTTCTGATGCTGTGTTCCATGGCCATGGCATGCGCTCGCTCTGCAAAGTTCCACCCACTTTTACGAGCATTTCTGCTGCAATGACTTCTGCTGCTGCGAAACCTCTGCCGACGGCTGTCCCAGGCCGGTAGCCATTTCTACAGTGATTCTACAAGCATCTGCCTCTCTGCCATCCCCTGCCTCTACTCCTTCGTTACGGAAGCCTTCCTCATTGGGCATGTCATGGGTGCGGAGCCCAATGGAGCGGCCAGAAGCTGCAGTTCTGCAATTCAATTCTGCAGCTGCAGCTGTCTGGAAGAAGCTCGACAACTGGACATATTGCGGACCGTGGAGATGCGCTGGGCTGATAGCTGCATGGTGCTGCATGGAGTGGCCAGATTGTGCCAGATCATGTGGGGCGGTGCACGTCCTGCAAAGGCGCCTATGTCGTGTCTTGTTGTTGCATGCGATGTCCTTGCATACCGAAGGGCTCCCAACTCAGACTCCGCATGTGCTGGCTCACGTGCTGGTGGGAAAGCTCTTGGAATTTCGAGCTTCTCGCAAGGAGGGAAGCCTTGCTTCATGGAGCAATCCTGGCATCTGGATTGCAGGCACCGCATAGTATGCTACCTTGTCTGAGATGCCAGCTAGCGCCACATCAAGATTGTGGCATTGCTGGCTCCAAACCTCTTCGTAGAGCATCTGCCAGATATCGTCGAGTGAGTTGACGCGGTACAGCATTGCAAAAAAGCCAAAGTTGACACCACTGCATCTGCCAGCATTCCCATCTGGTTGAACTTGTGACAGATGCGTAGACACACACTTCCCGAAGGGGCAGCGCGACTTGAGAGAAAGAATCTGCCAGTTGCATGGAGCTTCGTCGTGGACAAGCTGTCTCAACTTCGCTGCAAAATCATCTGACAGCCAGACATCATCTTCAAGAATCAGGGCCAGGGCTTTCGGACCTCTTGCGGCAGTCCTTCCACCGTGGGTTCCGTGAGAGCTATCATTGTAAGTCATTACGGGACATCCCAAACATGTTAGAATGTTAGCCAACAAGCCGGCGAGTCTGTTTTAAATCGGACAAAGTTTCCTCATCGCTCTGAAGTGGGCTGCGGCGCAGCCCAGGGTGCCCAGGCTTCCGTTTACCACCCTCGGGAGAAGTCCTTCCCGGAGCGCTTGTTCGTAGTCATCCAGGACAGTCAAGTCCACCTCAGGACGTGGACAGCAAAAGCCAGACGAGGAGACGTCCAGCGCGGCTCGAGCCGGGGTTAGCTGGGTACGGAGGAAATCAGAAAACAAACTCGAAAACCGATCGGACGATATCGGAAAACACCGGACCAAATCAGAAAACAAGATCGGAAAACGGACAGCCGAAATCAGGAAAACTGACGCACAAAACTCAGACACCAGACGGACCGGATCAGAAAACAGGGCAGTCGAAAATCAGAAAACAGGATAATCGAAAGGCAAAAAACCACTGCAATGGTGTGACGGGCCAACTCGCGTGAGAATTCCCATGTTGTTGGAGACCACAAGCGCCGCTCTGCATTGCTAGGTTTGGGGCCAAAACCGAAGCGTGAAAGGAGAGCCTGCGTTTCCTTCACCTCTCCACCTCTCGATGTGTAGCCCAAACCGAGGGGTTTTGTGCCCAAAACCGAGGGGTGAAAGGACCGCGGCCTTCCTTCACTTCTCGGTTTGTGGCCAAAACCAAGGGGTGAACGTACCAGGCCCTTCCTCACCTCTCGGCTTGTGGCCAAAACCGCGGGATGAAAGGAGCGCGGTCTTCCTTCACCACTCGGTTTGTGGCCAAGACAAAAAGGTGAAACGGCCTTTCTTTTCCGAAAGGGTGAAGTGAGCGCGGCCTTCCTTCACCTCTCCGTTTGTAGCCAAAACAAAGGGGTGAAAGTAGCGCGGCCTTCCTTCACTTCTCGGTTTCTGGCCAAAACCGAGGGATGAAACGAGCGCGGCCGCCAAAACCGAGGGGTGAAGGGACCGCGGCCTTCCTTCACCTCCCCAAACAGATGGGTGAAAGGACGTGGCCTTCCTTCACCTTTCACTTTGTGGCCAAACCAGAGGGGTGAAAGGGCCAAAACAGAGGGTTAAAGGACGGCGCCTTCCTTCGCCTGTCGGTTTGTGCCAAAACCGTGGGGCCAAAACCGCGGGGTGAAAGGACCGCGGCCTTCCTTCGCCTTTCGGTTTGTGGCCAAAACCGAAAGGTGAAAGGACCGCGGCCTTCTTTCACATCTAGGTTTCTGGCCAAAACGGAGGGGTGAAAGGACCGCGGCCTTCCTTCGCCTCTCAGTTTGTGGCCAAAACCGAGGGGTGAAAGGAGCGCGGCCTTCCTTCACCCCTCGGCTTGTGGCCAAAACCGTGGGGTGAAAGGAGCGCGGCCTTCCTTCACCTCTCGGTTTGTGGCCAAAACAAAGGCGTGAAGGTAGCGCGGCCTTCCTTCACTTCTCGGTTTCTGGCCAAAACCGAGGGATGAAACGAGCGCGGCCACCAAAACCGAAGGGTGAAGGGACCGCGGCCTTCCTTTACCTTTCGGTTTGTGGCCAAAACAAAGGGGTGAAAGGATCACGGCCTTCCTTTACCTCTCGGTTTGTGGCCAAAACCGAAAGGTGAAAGGACCGCGGCCTTCCTTCACCTCTCGGTTTGTGGCCAAAACCGAAAGGTGAAAGGACCGCGGCCTTCCTTCACTTCTCGGTTTGTGGCCCAAACCGAGGGGTGAAAGGACCGCGGCCAGGCTGCGCCTCGTGCTGGTCTACGTCCGCCAAGATGAGGTCGTAGAAGAACCAGCGCAAAGTCAGGGCAGGATTTGTTGAAGGTTTAGGCTTAGGGTCGTATATATAGGGACTTCTTTTGGTTGTTGCTTTCTGACTTTTTGATACATGCGCTTTCTGATTTTCTCTTTCCTGTTTTCTGATTTTGTTTTCTGATTCTGGGTTGTTTCCTGATATCGTCTTCGTTGTTTTCTGATTCCGGTTTTGTGAGCCTGACCGGCCGTTTTCGGAAATCCGACTCCGTGTTTTCCGAATTTGCTTTGTTGATTTCGCGGTTTGTGTCCGATATCCTCTTCACCCGGGGTTAGTTCGAGCCAAGGCACTCCTTCGACAGTTTGGAAGTCGATCCCAAGCTCTTTCAGCCTGGCGCCTCGATGGCCACGAAAACCAAGCTCGAGAACCGACTAGACTCTAGTCTCTCTCTAAATCTCTCTAAATCTCTAGCCTCCAAACGGGAAAGCAACCGGACTCACATGTGGGAGCCACGAATCCACTGGAATGCTGTTGAGGCTCTGACCAGTCGCCATCTGTCAGTGGCTGATCGCAGGTGTACCACATACACCGCCACAGTAGCGCGCATCCAATTCAAGCTGGCGCTGCTTTCGAAAGGAGTGCGCCACTCTTTCCCGAAACGCGGATTTTCACAGAGGTATGGGTGCACGAGTGCATCCATCGCTAGCTCGGCAGGCGGAGGGGCTTGGCCGAACTGGGCAACCTGCCGTCTGGATCAGTTTGTTTATTAAGATAAGTCTTTTTGGGTCCCTTTCCAGCCGTCGGCAAGGGGCGGGCCTTGGCCTGATCCTCGAACCAAGTCGTAGAACCGTGGGATGCATAACAGCCGTTGTGCTTCATGTACTCCCAGCACCAATTTGCATCGGGAACACTCGACGGATGCGGCAGGGACGAGCACTTTCGCTTCCATTCGGCCGTAAGATTGAACCTGCTGAAGCGCCGAGGCACCACTTGTGGAATGGGAACTCCAGGGTTGCAAAGCGCAAGATCATCCCTTGGCTGCCGTGGCAACAACATGCGATGCACTCCGATCGTC